GCTAGCCACATACCGCAGGTAATTCGAAGCCAAATGCATTCTGCATTCAGACCGCTGGACTTGTTCATTCAAAACTTGTGTGTGCTTCGTAACATTTATAATTTACGAGCTCGGTTTGGTTGTGGAAAAGTGTCCACGGCTAATTGATTTATGCCAGAAGTGTGAGCGGGAAATCACAACGAAGCCATCGAACATTACTTCTGTGGAATTCAAATTTGTAGCTCGAATACCATTTATAGAATTCAAATATCGACGTGTCGCGACACAGAAAATAGACCTTAACACTTGTCAGCTTTGCGGATTAGATGCTTAACGAGAAAAAGGGGTTAAATACGACAGTTAATACCTTTATCTTGCGGTTGGAATTCGAACAGCTGAGGGCTGTTCCACTTTTCTCTGGTATTTACAAAATATTTATGCCAAATGTCTGGAATATAGAACAGTAATTAGACAATTGAACAATTGAATGGCTTTTGGCCGAGGCAGGAAAATCAATAGCCCCCTCTTGCCCGCCTCGTGAGCAGACAAAAGATGTGCGAACTTGGTGCGTCCATTAAATTTGTCACCCGCGGCTAAGCTAAATGTCAAATAGTACTCACGGCCATTCCAGGATATATAGACACACTCGCACACACACACACTATAGTGAGGAGGGGGGGGGAGAACAATAACAGCATCAATTTGACACGTACAGGCGCTAATGATGGGAATGGCCAGTCAACTGAACGATCGAATCCGAATCCTGAATCCTGTGCGGCGGACAGACCGCTCAACATGCCCACAATTGAACCACCCGGACTTGGTCCTTTAGGAACTTTGACATCCTGCCGTTTCGAGCAGTCGCAATCCCACAGCCATTCCCCTCGAATTTTCTGTCCTGTCAGTTCCTGTTGGTGTGAGTTGACGTTCTGAGAGTCGACGACTGCCAATTTAATTCCCATTGACAAAATGCACAATTGCCGGACACCATGCCGCTTTCCACCCCCCCTCCCCATACTAAAAATGGCCCTTTTGTTCGCCAATGTAACTGTTCTTGTAATTGTAATTTCTGCTGGTGACAGCCTCGCACACTTGCTATTAATTATTTTAGAAAATCGCTTGTAATAACAATAAATTTATGCAACCCACTTTCCACAGACGTTTTCTTTTCCACACACCAAATTTTCCACCCACAACTGTTCAATTTTTCACGACATTCAAATATTTGCTATTCGGCATTGCCAAGGCCAATGGAGAATCGTCAGTTGTCGAATCGAGTGCAATCAAGGCAAATGTTTGCACTGGGCTTTCGACTGTCTGACATCGCGGGGATTTCCCAGTTAACCAATTGCCTCTGCTTCTTCCCATTTCCCATTTCCCCGACCTGCCATACCAACCACTTTCAATTTTGACGGCATATCGATTTAATAAATTTGCGTGTGGCCCTTGCGACAATTTGATTGACAACTAAGTTCGGCCCCCTCAGTCAGTCGGTTGAGTTGGTTAGGTGGGTTTTTTATTTTCCCTGCGATTGTATGGGCCAAGAGATGGCAGCGGGATATGTACACACGATTGCCATTGATATAGCATGGGGAATTGGTTTTGTTTTAAGCCACTTGGAAGGGAAAAAGTGAAAAGATATCTTTGGAGAGCCAGCAGGCAAGCTCTTCATTAGATAGATCAAAACGTTGCCAATTGAGTTCTGGCTTGCAGTGGAATAGCCTTTTATTTAAATTTCTGACAAACAGCTTATAGAATTTATAAATCAGACATTTCTCTGAAATAAAATAAATAAGCTCTATTGTCACAAGTTTATTATTTAATAGTGAGTCAGAACAGTGATTATTTAAGATTTAATACCGATCCAAAACTAGTAATCGTTCCGTTAAAAGCGATTAAATTAAATTTAAATATAGATTTTAAATAACTAAAACCTTTTTGTGTTGTTTGTCATTGTAAGATATTAATATTTTAAATAAAAACGACACTTAATCTCGGGTTAACATCTTTTTTTTCTTTTAAGAAGAATGAAATTAAAATCTACTTTCGAATAAATAACCATTTCAAATATTTAAAAACAAAATAGTGAATTCCCATGGCATTTGCCGTTACTTTTGATCAATTGCTGGTTGGACCCACCTCATTTCGCTTTGGCCAACAATAACCTTACATTATATTCATAAATCAAAATGCTACTGTGCGATCAGAGACCATGGACAGAAAATTGTTAACATCCGGGTAATTTAAATAAAAATTCTGTTACCGTGTATCTGCTTTTCCATTCAACAGACGTAGGTCGCCATGGCGTTGGGAGATATGAATAGACACCGAAATAGACGGTGGCGGCAATTAAAATTAGAATTCACCAAAAATGTATATTTAGGCGCGCTTAATTATGACCCTACTGCGACCCAGGAGCATAATGAAGGTATTGAAAAGGCGTTGACATGCAACCGATAATTAAATTCCGAACCGACAACGAGACACTGGGCCTGTTTCCCACATAATAAGGATTTAGCAATAAAACTCTTGCATATGTAAATTCAGAGTGCCCTCGCGGGACTGGCACTTTGGTGTGAACTGGGGTCTGGGATCGAGGGATCGAGGGATCTAAAAGTTCGGGTGATCTGGGACCTGGATCTGATCGCTAATGCCGTGCCCGTGCATCTTGAGCGGTACTGTGCCGTTAGTTTCCCGAGCGGGAAACGTGCACCCGCACATAATGTGCAATAACACAAACTAAAGTGTCAACTTTTTGGGCCGTAAATGTTGCACGAACCCCTCTCTCGCATTTGCTTTCTAATTTGGGCACACGCTCCTCGGAAAGAGGAAACAACAAAAGGCGGAGGGAAAAAGGGGAAGTAATACACAGGGGCTGGGGAAAATTTCTCGCAGCATTTCCGTTTTTCACACACAAGCATTCGAAAGCAATTTTTCAAAATTGAAATTCATTTCATATGACTGTCTATGCTTCCATATCCATTATTTTCCTATCGCACACCCGTTATCTGTGACAGCGGATCAACGAATAAGATCGTTGCACAGCGATAGTAGAACCAGTACAGGGAAAACCCAGCAAGTGTTGAAAATAACCGAATATTCGGGGTGACAATTGTGCGGCCTGAGGGCGGTATAAATACATCCCTGCAGATCCAACTTATCTTAAAATTAGTTCTAGCTTTTGGACCTCTCTATCGAAGCACTGGGATCAAATTAAGTCGGAACCACCCTGCAGAAACAAAGCCAGTCGAAGTGTATTGTATGGCCAGATTGACTTGCCAATAAACTACAAAGCCGCCACAATATTTTCCGAGCCACTGCAATCGTCTTAGTCATCCAGCAACCCTTTACTGGCCAGGCTCAAGGCAACTAACCGGCGACTCCCAACGAATGTCCCATTGAAAAGAAGCCTGCTCCATCATCATCCATCCATCCATCCCCACTCGACTGGCTGGCTGGTTGGCCGGTCTCTTGGTAACTCCAAACAATGAACTCATAACTCAAGTGACACTTTTTAACTTGACTGCATTTCATCATGTGGTACGTCTTGGAGCCCCGTCTTGGTCCGCTTCTCGGCTCTTTTCTTGTTTCGTCCAACAATATTCAAATTGAGTTTTCCAGTGCAACAGCCAGTCTGAACCTCACTCCTCCTCGCCGGCGACTGTAGTCATCCATCGCTGGAAAGTTTTTTGTTGCCTGGTATTTGTTAGTTGATAAAAGGCCAAGCCATTATATGCATGGCCGGGCTGCACAATTTGAAGTGGGTAAAATTTGTATGCATGTGGCTGCCATGACAACGCCCCAACGTCCAGGTTCCAACTTCGACCCCACTCCGTCTCCAAACTGTATACCATCTCCGACTGCGACCTTTCAATTCAAACAAGAAGCAGGGATTCTTTTTCAAATTGTCATTGCTGAACTGGGCTGGGCTGGGCTGGGTCCTTCAAAGAATTCTTGGCTTTCTTTCGACGTGCAGCGTTCAGATTCTGTTGTCTCATGTCGCTGGGGCTTGTCAACCTGCCGGCCCCATTGGTTCCTCACTCTCACACCCTAGGAAGCAACCCATCTACCTACCACAACCCATCTCCAATCCCCGGGAATCGACTACGCCGGCAGACAAGTGCAATGAACCGCGTTTGTCTTCTTCCATTGCAGGCTGCGGCGTTGATTTATGTTACATCTTCTATGGTTACATTGGCTCTCGATCCCCAATCCCCCAATCCTCCATCCTCGCCCCGAATTGCGCCATTAAGCGCAGCTCATATGTTACCCAAAGGTACAGGATGCAGAGGCAGAGGCGGGAGACTCTCACACGTGAAATGATTTATTAGCGGTAATTGGTGTCACAGTGTTCCAAAGAAAAGGAAAGGATTCTCATCCCGCATTCCCCATTCAGACCCTCCTTCTCGCTTCTCGGTTGCCAGGCACCCGTTGTTTCGAACTTCTCTTTTAATTATCTTGATTTTAAACTTATTAAATTTGACAAATGATATTCGTAGACATCGTTGTGGTGGCTCGAGGGAAACAGGTTGTCAATGGCTGCTTCCCAGAATGCCGAGAGTTGATAAATCACGGAATGCGGCAGCTCCTTACCTTTATTTATCTGCCTGTTAGTTCTTGGCCTATCATTCTGGGCTGTCCAGAGATTCGTTTTGAGCTGGGTTTTTAGGCTAGGTCACAATCGTTCAAGTTGACACACCTGGTTGTGTATCGATTGGTATGCTGATTAGATATTGATGAACAATCTTCGATGTAAAAGAAGGGTTTTTAAAATGTAACAACCTAAATTGTTGGTCAATTCAGAAAAAACTCCGGTATAAATGGGCTTAATTTCTGCGAACTGTTCTGTTCCTTATATTGTTTTATACATTTTAAGGCTGGACTACAGTTAAATAACTACAACTTGGATCTTATTGTTTTTGGAAAACACAAAAGAATTGATCATTTCTGTAATGCCAAAAAATATTTCAAAAATACTTTTTCAAGTATGTACCAAAAAGATTGCAGTATCCACATTGTAATTTGCTTTAGTGCAACTTGAACAACTTTATTTCACAACATTCACCTGAGATGTGCAACAATTTAGTTAATCAACTTTTTAATGACAAATGCGATGCCAATGACTAGTGATGTCCTGGCATGGCCTTGTGCTCCTTGAGGCACATGGTAATCTTGAAGGCCGTGTCGCAGTCGTTGGTTCCCTTGATGTCCTTGCAGGCATTCACGCCCGATGCGATCTCGTCCATCTTGTCCTTGATCTGCGGCACATTCTTCAAGGTATCGAGCAGAGCCTGGGCATTGAACTGGCCGTTGGTGAGGTGCCCCTGCTTCTCCATGAGGCACTTGGTGTAGCACTTGAGGTTCTCCTTGGCACTGCTCTGCATTCCGCTGGCCATAAACTCCTTAAGATCGGCTTCGGTCACCTGAGCACTCTGCATGCACTCCTGCATTATTTGCCTAAAGTCCGGATCGCACTAGAAAAAGGTTCCTGTGATTAGAATTATATACTTTAAAGGTACAGTAGTCGCTCCTTTTACCTGACCCATGGCCAAAAGAACAGTCAGAGCAACACAGAATAGAGTGAACTTCATTTTGGTATTAGTATTTGCTTGTGCTTTTCCGGATTCACTCGATAGCCTCGACTGTTGGACATTCGCTTGAAATCTGCGGTTTTATAGCAGATCAGAACTAGTCATAATCAGAGGGAATGACATTAAGGCAATTAAACTTTTTGCGAGATGAATCAGTATTTGATTACGCACAATACCGACAATTACTCAACAATAGAATTTCCCTTTTTCGATTGTAATTACATTCCATTATCAGTCCATTCGTAATTTGGGGGAAGAGTGGGTTTTGGGGCAGCTACACAAATCAGCAAAGTTAGTCGCAATTAGTTGCCGGCCCCCACAACGAATCAATTATTCATTTATTGTGTTTAAATGTGGTCAGAGTTTGACAATTTTCGGCCTTTGTTTGAGCCATTCACACTTGCCCAATTGATTTGCATGCCATTTGTTCTGGCCTGGCCATTGCCAAATCCCCAATTGATATTTTCGAAGGCATTTAATCTCGCATAATCACGGCAATATTTCCGAGTCTGCTGACACCAGTAGAAGGTCGGGTCTGAATAATTTACCAAATTTCCAATGCAGAGCTAACGCCACCAATTTACAACTCATAAATTTGACCATTTGTAAAGCTTAAAATAATAAATTTGTAAAAGTTATTCAAAAACTCATTACTATTATGAGTGTGATTACATTTTTGTTTAACTAGATTAAGTTGCCAGTGACAAATTTATTTAATTTGCTTTGCATCGTTTACATAGATTAAATCTATAAATGCTTAAATTTATTCCTAGTCATTGCCTAAAAATGGTACTATTCTGTATTAAAACACATAAATTCAATTAAATCATAAAAAGAAGGGGAGTCATGCAATAAACTTTTTTTATTTATAGTTCCGGAAACCATTGATTATTACCCGACAGCTTTCGATGCCTTGAAAGGTGATCTAATTTATTTTCCCATTCATCTGCAGACGTTTTAATCGTAGCTACAGATTGCACAAGTCCGCTGTGACTATCTATAACAATTAAACATCCATCAGTTAACACCCACCGCCCACCTTCCTCTGCTATGATACAACAAACATTTGTTTGCTGGAGATGGAGATGGGTATACAGATATAAAATAACTTGCATAATTCCTGGGCAAATTCAAATCAATAGACAAACAATAAGCTCGAGTTCGCAGGCCAACTGCCATTTACAGGACTAAGGAAGCCATGTTGACAGCACAAATAATTTATGCCTTTGTTATGGAGAGAAAGAGCACCTGCCCAAGTCCTTCGACTAGAGCCTTGTTCTGTGCCTCTGTCTGCCACGCCCACTCTGTGCTGTCCTGTGCCCCTCCATGTAAGTTGGGTTTTTCGCCAAGAAACAAATAAAGAGGAGACACCGAAAGGACAACGATTCCAAGTCGAAGTGGTTGACAAAAGGCCGAGTGAAAACCCGGGCCGGCGAATTGGATGGTCCTGGCCGACTACCACTGCTTGTCATTAGTCAGGCAGGATAAGCAAAGGACATGGCCATAAAAAGGGCAATGCGAGGCGCCCGAGCAGGGACACTTGCACAGACACAAGGTGTGTCCTGTGAATGAATTGCTGAGTAACCAATAATGAAGTAAAACTGTTCAAGTCCTGAATGTGTCATTGTGGCAGCAGGTTTGGCTGGCGGTGGCAAGGGTTTCAACTGGGATGAACTGGGTATGAACTGGGGACCCGACAACCGAGCACAATTCACTGTCAGTTGCATTGTTTTGACCTGATTTACATGCCCCAACCAGCCAAGCTAGCCAGCCAGCTCAACTGATATTAGGAATGGCTGAAGACCGTTCGGTGGACTTTTATAAATTACAAAGGCCACCGCACAAAGGCGATAGATGCAGGATGCCTGGCTCGGCTCCAGCTGGCTTTCCCTCTCTGTCTCATTCTTCCTGGCTTTTCCTGGACCTCCTGCTTTTCCAGGCGAAGCCAGCAGACGACAACGATGACAGGACGAAACAAAGGCCAACGTTAATGAGCCAAGAGAATGGCGCAAGCCGTAACAAACGTGGCTAAATAAAGAGCGGGGCAAATTGTAAGAAAGCAGAACTGTGTCACAATGTTTTGACAGGAGTGGGAGTAAATGGAAATGTAGTAGGAAACGGAGAGGGGACAGGACGAGTCGGCACAGGACACAGGACACAGGACGCAGGACGAATGCCGGACTGCTCAGCTAGTTAAGCGGCCAAAGACAAAGTTGATAAAATTAGATTTGTATGGTAAATAGTTTGTGGGATGGCGGCGACTGTGTGAGGCAGGGGCAAAGTTTAATAAATGTATAAAATTAATTAGCCAGTTGAATGCTCATTAACAGCTGGCAACGGGCTCAAGCTGACATCTCTGTTTGGTAGCCTCCTGCTGGTTCTTGAAGCTTTAAGCCAGGTCGGAAGGTGGAAGTTGGATGGTTTTTGGGCCCGGTTTTGAGGCCAGGGCAGCTGTCAAGTTGCCTCAATTAATTCCCAGCAGCAGTCAGTCAATGAAATATGCTGCTTCCCATTTTCTACGTCCATCTGTTTTGGCATTTTCACACCTCCCCCCCATACAATTTTCCTTCACTTCGCGTTCGATCTCCCGCTGAGTGGAATAATGGGGGAAAAAGAAAAGTGAAAACCCCCCCAAAAATGAATGTTGACCTTTCACAATTGCAAGCCGCATGAGTTCTTTGTTTGCTGCAACTTGCGTTTTACGGTTTTCGGGTTTTTGAATGCTGCACCAGCGGTCGAGCATTGACCACAAAAGCCAAGGGCCCAAAAAGGGAAGGGGGATTGGCAGGGTTACACGAAATCAAAATATATTTCGGACATTGTGGTAAAGTAATTGGATTTTGAGGCATTTATTATAATATTGGAAATTTTGTGAGTGGGGGAATTTCCGGGAATAACAAAGGCTGGGGGGAAATGCATATAACCAGAGAGAAACCAAAGGAAATTTGAAAATAAATCCAGTCAAATCTAGTTAAATTCTGTGCGATAACTGGTACAGGACTTAAATCAATATTAAAATGCCAGTTGGTTACAGAAAGAACAAACACAAGTAATACAAGTACGAACGTATTGAAATTATCAGGAGGTTTTGAGCATTAAAATACATTTTTTTGGAAAAATAACTAGAATTATGAAAAAGGTCACTTGTAATTAAAATTTCAATACTCGAGAAGACTTTTAGATCTGTCAAAATTGTATTACATTTTTATAAAAATCTGGTGGGCCTGACTTAATTTTTAAGGACTTCAGCCTTATTTTTTCTCCAAACTCCCCCTTTGTTGACAACTTTAAGACCAAGTTATTTCCGTAAACAAGATTTAAGTGCAAAAGCTTTTGGTCTGACTGCTCTATTGGATGTGAAATTTGTGTAATTTGCACTCGTCTTTATTTTGGACAGCTATAATTGGAATCGGGAGTCACGGCCCTTCAGTTTCATGGCCAATCAACTCCACACTCGCATTCCAAAGCCAGATGAAGGGAAAAAATTCAAAATGCTTGCGCACTGAGTTATTGAAATTAAACATCAAATGTCACAGCCAGGCACCAAGGCAGGCCAATTCGCTGTCTTCGCTTTGTGTCAGTGAAAGGAGGACGAGACGCAGAAAAGCACAAAGGTCCTTCCACATGCTGCAGGATTTCAGCAAAGTGGCGGTGGAGTGGGGAGCGGTATCAGAAGTTTTTCTCGAACAAAAAATTGCTGGCTGACAAGTTGCCAAAGAGCGAGGAATTCGAATTTGTGTGGAAGTTTTTGGGCACAAAATAAAGTCGAGGCAGACGCCGCCGAAGACAATTGCCCGAGCAAATGAAATCAAGCACAAGCAGCTCAAGGATGTAAGGCTGAATGGAAGCGGGGGCGTGGCAGGGGACTCTAAATACGAGTGTGTCTTACCCCCCACCCCCCCATGCTGCTGCACACACAAATACAATTTACATGCGTACGTGTGCCAGAGGGCGGGGGCTTCAAAGGAGGAATGGGGAAAGGACAGTGCGTCTCTGCGACATGTCCTTAGGATATTTGTATGCAAACAGGGCACAATACGCTGAAATCGATATGCGGGCGCGCGTCTCCCCCTACCTTCCTTCCCCTCACTCGGCCGCTGGAGGATGCAGCTAAACTGGCGGGCGGCTTAGACTCCGCTTCCATCTCCATCTGCGTCTTGGCCTGGCAGTTGACAGCCATGTGCAGCGGCGCAATGAAATGAAAAATGGTGAGAAGGAGACGTCGACAACGCCTGCAGCCTCAAGCCTCTAATTCGCATAAGTACACTTTTAAAAAATAAGCGTATTAGTAAGCCAATGAGGTTGAATTAATAAAAACTGACCATTTTTAATAAAGAGCATTTATGTGTACCTCGAAAAATAAGAAGCCAAAATTTTGTCATATTTAAAAACATTTTACATTCATAAAAAATATTCTTAGCTTAGTCAAATCATTAACAAGAACTTAGAAAAAAATCTTAATATTATTCTTATCTTTTCAAGAGCAAAATTTACATAGTACCTTTTGTATTGACTAGTATTTGTTTTTAAAATATGACTAATATTAGTCTGCAAGACTTATTCGACATATAAAACATTTTATTAAGCTTGTCAGAATAATTTATGTTAAGACAATGAGCTTATATTCAGAAACATTTATCAAAAGCTGTTATCTTCTCCTCATTTTTATGATTTTCTTAATAATTCCTAGTTTTTTTCAGTGCAGTCATGTGTGAGAGCCCGCGGCGACAACGATGGCCTGCTGACAAGCCCTTCGTCGCACTTACGTGCGTGTGTTTCGTCTGCATATGGACTAGGGATGGGTGAGACTGATATGTGATATTAGTTTGATCTATAGTGATTTCATGCAGGGATGCAACACTCCTCGGAAATGGTATAAGTGAGCAAAAGCCACCAGAAAATTGCTAAAATAAGGTTTATTAAATGGAGGTTAGACTAAGTATGTGGTCGGAAACTCGAAAAAGGACAGTGAAGTATTTTTGTAGTACTTATTCGAATAGTGCTTTCCATTGGCAACTATTATCAATCATATTTTTTCATTTTCATTTGAA